TCTATCTATCTATCTATCTATCTATCTATCTATCTATCTATCTATCTATCTATCGTATGTCTGTCTGTCTGTCTGTCTGTCTGTCTGTCTGTCTGTCTGTCTGTCTGTCTGTCTGTCTGTCTGTCAGTCAGTCTGTCTGTCTGAGCTGTAGTGTCAGGGTGTTTCTGAGGGTGGGGGCAGCTGTTAAACACCAAGGTGGGGTCTGATAAGGACAAACCCTGTTTGTTCTTCACCTGAAAGTTACGGCTGGAATTCTCTTGTTATTCTTCTATGCAAATAATTCTTCAGTCCATCTGTCGTGTCTCATAGTGAAAACATTCAGCGTTGTATGTATAAATCTGTGTTTGTTCTTATCTACTATTATTTAATCATCACCAACACGTACACTGAGCACTAATTAATTGTGCAAGGTTTGCACTTAAAACTTTGCCAGTAACAATTGCAGTCAACTCTGCCTGTTAGTAAACTATCTCATGAACCCAACAAAGTTAAGTCAGTCCCTCTGGACGGTTTCTTTGTGTTGAAATGTTTCGTCTTTCATCCAAAGGACTTCATCAGACCAAGGAGCTGCAACAAACTCAGTCCCATACGTAGCACACTCACATAGTGGTCCAAATGGTGATAAGATGGTTTCTGGAGTGCGCCCTCTCCCCCGTCGACTCATTTGAGGCAGCCATGGCTGAAGTGGTTCAAAACGTCAAAGGAAGTGTACAGATTTTGGCCATGGCTGCCTCAGAGGAGTCAATGGGGGAGAGGGCGGACTCCAGAAACCATCTTATCACCATCAAACTGGTTGGCCCACTATGTGAGTGTGCTACTTATGGGACTGAGTTTGTTGCGGCTCCTCGGACTGATGAAGTCTTTAGATGAAAGACAAAACATTTCAACACAAAGAAACTGTCCGGAGGACGTTACTTAACTTTGTTGAATATTTTTACTTGGATTATTGAACATGAACTTTGATATCTCATGAACCATGAATGGTTCACATAGTTACCATTCAATGTACATCTACAGTTCATTAACTTTTGAACTTAACCCAGTTTAAAATGGCTGCCGCAGCTAACTCAACTTTACTAACACAAACATGTCCATAACTCAACCAGTTTTACAGATACCATGTGTGGAAGCAGCTGAGAATAATCCTCAACAGATACTTTGAGCCCTACACGTTGCACCCCACCTATACTTCAAACTTTGACATTACCTGTTGCCTGAATTTCTGGTTAGCAAAATACCTCGTGAATTACTGGGCAGTTTTTAGTAAAACTCACAGAAAGCTTTCATTCAGCCCAATTTAGGATGGCTGCCATAATTTATCCATATTTTCCAACATAAAAACGAGTAGAACTCAGACATTTGTGCAAACGTTGAGCTAAAACGATGTGGAAGTAGCTGAGAGTCATTCACAACATATCCACTGAGCGTGACGTGTCATGATAGCAACTTTTTTTTCAAGGTTTGGGCGATATGCACTATTTCAAGTATTTATGCAAGGATATAAAAATATAAAGATGGAGTATTATATTACATCATTTCCTTTACTTCTTAACTTAAATGTTAAACAGCATTTTTGTCCTGTCTGTCTGCTCTGGCTCTGGACGTTTCTTTTGTCCTCCTCTGTGATGAACACAGTTGGAATGACGGAGATAAACTTGACTTGGTTATGTGACACATGTTTACTGCTCACCAGTACGTAAACGACATCACACCAGTCGAACACAATTTACCTCCCAACTTGTCACATCTGTGAGAAATGTTGCAAAGACGAGGACCAGGTCATGAAAAGAGATGCTTGTTCATAATATTTAAGTTTTGACTTTGTGTTGGTGTAAAATCTTTATTTTTTTACATCCATTCATCCATTTAACCTTTATTTCTACAGGTTAGTCGTGTGCTGTGTTAGTTTAAAGCAGCTCTTGAAGCTCAAACAGCTTTCCTGACGTTTAAATGAGAAGAACGTGAGTTTTCTTGTGTTTCAGTAGTTTTATAGAAACAGATTTTGATTCATGAGCTGTAAATGTGTAACATGATGTAATTTTCGTCCCTGACATTGCCTCATCCACCACCACCCTCACCCTTCACTCCCCCCTGCTGAAGCCACCAGCCAATCCCACCCCAGCAGGGGCCCTCCCCTGCTCTGATAAATACCACTCAGGACCAGGGAGGCTCCATCTGCACGGCTCTCTCGTTCTCAGCAGTGTCTCTTCCTCTCACACCATCTACAGACCCCCCCTACGTGATCATGTCTGTCAGAGCCCTGAAGACCACCACCTTGTCCACTGTGTCGACCTCCAGAGGTCCCTCCCAGGGCTACAGCAGCCGCTCATTCTCCGCCTACGGAGGCCATGGTGCAGGCAGTGCCAGGCAGAGCTATGCTGTCCGTAGCTCCTACGGGGGTGTGGGCAGCAGTGGTGCTGCTGTGGGTGTTGGGGGGTTGAAGATGGTTAGTGGGTTTGGGGGATCGGGACACAGAGGAGGTGGAGTGGAGTTTGGCTATGTGGGGTTTGGAGGAGGTGGTAACGAAATGGTGGGCCCCATCACTGCCGTGACTGTGAACAAGAGCCTGCTGGCCCCCCTGAACCTGGAGATCGACCCCAC